CAGGATGGGGTTGGAAACAGCTCTGCACTTGGGAATTGTCATTTGCCTATTGGCAAAGGCATTTTGGGAAGCATTGCACATATAATATCAAGCCCTCTTTCCAAAGAAATGTTCAAGAATTATAATGATATTAAAAAGATCTGTCATAAGGAATAGTCAGCTGAAACAGGAAGGAATACTCAGGATCTTGGTAATCTCTGTCTGTTTTCCATTTCAGGTCTTTTGCCAAGCGGAAAAATCCCATGCGATCCATTACATTCCTTATGAGCTTCCATTGCCATTGTTTACACAAAGTAATCTTCTTAAAACTCAGCCATTCTTGACAATGTTTAAACTACCTGAACTTCAATTCTTGAGGAAAGAGCTGTTGTGTGATGTTCCACTTGCTTTTGTTGATTTTAGTTGTATAGCAGAAGAATAAAAGGAAGTGTAATAGCGGTAATAAAACTGGACAGAAATACCAATAATCACAGTACATTCAACACAACTTGGAAGAACAGCTTTGCTGTGAGCATTTCATTTCCAAAAGCGCGTTTGCTCTCATGCCTCAGTCCACAAGAAAGCTTCAGCCTAAGCCGCAACTTAAAACACAGAACAGGATTTCCTTCACTGGAAAAAAAGCTGGGCAGAATTTGGGAACTGGCTCCTGAAGAATGCTGCTCACATGAGTTTATAGATTCAAGCAGAGATCTTTCCAAAGGCATCCCAAGGTTTGCAGGTACCGTGTCTATTGAAGTTGGAAGGGAGACGACCCACCTTGCATTGGTCAGCCATCGACTCCACTTTATTCATCAATCAGGCACCTTTTATAACTGTTAATTCACTTCATGCATATTGCAAAATCTGAGCTCACAATAGGTCAGAGATAACATACTAACCCCTCCTTATGTTTCCAATACCAAGATTTGGGTTCTCAAAATTATTCTTGCTTTCCCAAAACAGCNCTCCCAGCATCACCCAAGATCTGCAATTAAGCCTCTCAACAGGCAACAGAAGGAGCCCATGCTCTAAAACTCTGCTTGGGACATCTCTCCCCTTACTGTTTCTTCATAGCCAGCTCAAAAACGGCATTTTGGGGCAGGGTCTGGCAAAAATAAGACCCAGCCCAAGCAGTGTCTGAGCATATATGCCAATTCTACAGGTTCACTTTGTTTCACTGAGCAGTTCCAGGGAATCCAAAACACTGCTGTGCTGCGATGATGAAGCACAGCCTTCATAGTTTTATCCTTCTTTACCTGATAGGTTTCAGTGCCTGGAGTCAGAGACTTCCATTGCTCCTGAAACTGTCTGAACTTCTTTGTGGTCTTGTCAATCAGGGAATGTAAATTGCAGTATTCGTCATACTCTGCACTGAAGTCATCCTTGTAGCGCTGACGTTGCTCCAAGGAGACAATGGCTACGTATTTTCTAAGGGAAAAAATGAGGCCATTTTTTCCCTTAGAAAATGGGAAAACACAGGCACCCAAGTTTTGAGTCTGTTGCTCTGGGACTGACAGTTTCTACTTTCAAGCTCATGCATTTCAAGAGAATGTAATCAGGTAACTCTAGGAATCTGCCACATTTCTATGAAACTTACTTACTGATAGTTTACATCGTAGAGGTTTTCTTCATTAGCAAGTGGAGCACACTTAGAAAACATATGCCCTCATTTCAAATGTCAAAGGACAAACAAACACAGCAACTTCATGGAGAGGAGATACATTACTAAATTATTATCTCTTCTCTGTAGGAAAAGCTTAAATTAGTTACATTTACCTGTGACAATACATCTGTAAAACATATTTGTCAGGGACTGCATTTATGGAGTTGAGTGCACAGAGTTCTGACTTCTGACTTGAGTGCACAGAGTTCTGGACTTCTGAGCTACATTCTTGTCTGTCTAATGGCAGAGTTAATGATAATATCTGATTCTTCAAGTGGACAGCAGTTACATCACTGACCGTGGAACTGAGGCATTTGTAATATAGCCAAAAAAACAGTCTCTATATCAGCCTGAAACTACAACTACTACCCAAACAGCATCTGCTCCTAAGGAGGGAAAAATTCATTAATGCCTAAAGCCACTGATGGGGGTCAAACCTTCTTCATTCCCTTCTCCCTCAAATCAACAGGCATGACATTTATCAAGCTCATGATAAAAATCCAGGTGGCAATGAGAACAATAGATGCCATTTCCCAACACTGTCACAGCAATGCTTCTGCTCCTTTGGGCCTGAAGACCTGGTTCTTTTTGGATGACATTAACACCTTTCACATGGGAATAAACAATTCAAATCATCCTAAGAATAATATTTACAAGCAGTAAATCCTCAACAAGTTGAAGTTCAGTCCCAGGGCAGACAACAGTTTGTGCCAAGGATGCATCCCAGGCCAGATACACCTGACCAGTGCATAGGATAATTTTGAAAAGAAAACTACAGATGCTTTGCAACATTTTGGGAGGCACCGGAGCAATGTGAGCCAGAGCCCTGCCGCGCCTGCTCCAAAGGCCGCAGCTGCCCCAGAGCCCCAGAGCTGCAGGAGGCCTGACTGCCCTTGCAACATCCCTGCCCTCACACAAGCTGGCAGCAAGTTCCAGTCTTTTATACCACACACACACACACACACANGCTGCCTGGCACGCTCAAGCAGATGGGAACTGTGCCAGGGTTACTGCCAGGTTGTGTGGCAGAGAGGGAACTGCAGGACCCGATGCCACTGGGCTGGCCCTGCTGGGAAGGAAGGTGCCATCCAGCACACGAGGGGAGGGGCAGGGCATGGAAAGGTAGACACTGCTCTGTCTCCCTGTTGGAACCACACAGTGCCTGTCTTGCAAAGGCAGGGACCTATGTGAGCCATTGGAGTTTCCTGAAAGGAAGATACCCCAGGGACAGAAAGCACCATTTCTAGAGCACTGGCACGGCAAAAACCCCAGCAAGATGAAGACATTGGAATAAACATATGAGTGGGACTCTGGGCCAGGTTTGCCTGCAATGGCAAGGTCCTGTACATTGGGAACAACTGGGGAGCAGATGGTCCAATCGCTCCTCTTTCTGGGTCTTCCTAAGAACCAGAGGAATCCTGATTGAATCTGTGAAGTACTGAGCTTGAAAAGTCATGATTCATTGGTTTTTGTTGGTTTTTTTAGTGAGCAGCATCCATTTGAATCAGCCAAGCCAGCATCCATCCTGGCGCCACTCACCATTTCAGAGAAGAGGAGGAAAGTCAAGTAAACACTGTGCTAATCACATCAGGATTATTTACTCCATAATCATCTTAGAGTAGAACTGAAGAATACTTTTGTAGAGTTGGATAGTAGAGTAGGATTGTAGATTAGGATTGAAAAGAAAGTTTCTAAAACTTAGATTTATCTGGAAGATTCCTGGTTTTTTTTTACCCTGTATCAGGATCCGTCCTAGTGAACAGATGACCTGATGGTTCATAGGAGTGATCTCAGAGTGTAAAAACCAACACGGTACAAGGGGGTTTGCAGTGATAATCAAACAAGTGCAGTTTTATTGAAATAACCACAGCAAAAATGCGATAGAGGGATTAAGGGAGAGAAAAAGATAGAGAAAGAGAGAGGAGAGAGAGAGAGAGAAAGGGAGAGAGGGGGGAGAATATAGCTACCAATGCAGAGACTAAGTCCTTTGGTCCAGTCCAGTCAAGGGTCCGCCTGTTACGCTGGGGAGATCTCAAAGGCACGGCTGAATTGCACGCCAATTATACTCTTTTTATTGGGGGAAGGGAGAATAAATTTCGCAACTGAAACAAAGGATAGAAAGGGGGGTACACAGAGTCCAAGCTAGGCAGCAGGCAAGAACCATTGTTTGCTTGGTGCAATGGTCAAAACCTGCAGGCAAACACCTCGGCTTGGTCAGCTTGCCTCCCCCACACACCTGCCTGGGCTGGGGGTTTCAGTCCTGGTCCTTGGAAGGAGCAGTGGGGCCTTTTAGGAGTTTCACATCTCAGTCCTTGATGGAGAGGTTCCTTACATCTCAGTCTGTCTGTCACGGTGGTTGTAAAACAAGTGAGGGTCTTCTGTGGGAGACCACCTGAAACTCAGGAGAAGTCCAGCCAGGGCAAGAGGTGGGACAGCTTCCAGAGATGCTATTGTTGCAAACGGGGCATGGTGCCCCCCTCTTAGCATACAGCAAACACACCTGTAAAAACAATAACTTAACACTGAGCTTTCAGCTCTCCGGGCCTTTGGTGTGTGACTTTTTTCCTTCAGAGCCAGAGATTCTAGACAGGGGGGGGATCTTCTCTTCAGTGGTCCCCCCAATGATGATCGTGAGGCAGATGAGGGAAAATTCAGACAGATCTCACAGGAAGACAATACCAAATTACAATCCTTTCTAGAGAAAGTTATGTGATAGGAAAT